AACTGTGTCTCCCAAAAAGACCCTATGCCACAGTACCTGTGAATGTAACCTTATTTGAAAACTGGGTCTTCTAAGATGTAATTAAGTTAAGGTGAGGTCACACTGAATTAGAGTGGGCCTAAATTCAATGATTGGTATCCTTACTAGAGGACAGGATACACAGAGAAACACACAAGGGCTAAAGAAGGCCACATGACAACAGAGGCAGAGACTGGAGTAATGGCAGCTGTAAACCAAGGAACGCCCAGGATTTCCAGGAGCTATCAGAAGCTGGGAAGAGGCAAAGGACTCTTCCACAGATCTCTCAGAGGGAATACAGTTCTTTCAACACCTTGATTTTGGACTTCCAGAACTTGAAAGAATAAGTTTCTGTTCTATTAAGCCATCAAATTTTAAAGTAATTTGTTACAGGAGCCCTAGAAAAGTAATATACCAGGTCTAATTAGTCTTAGTCCTAGTGTGGGCAAAGGAAGTTTTCATAGCATCTGGTCCCTGAATCCATGAACAAAGGCAGAAAGATAATTCAACACTGGAAGACCCATCAAGATCCTAACACATGAATCATACTATATGGGTCAGTTATTTACAAGGGTTAAAAAGAAGGGGAGAGAAGAAAAGGGGGAGAGGAAAAAAAAAAAAAGTAGGTGGAATGTATGATTCATAGTCAACATTTAGCCCCAGGCTTGATTTTCTTTACACAAAAGTAATGCTGCTAATTATTACCTCCATAGCCCTAAAATAACATCACTACCTTTTGACTACCCTGATTTGCTTAAACAAATACAGCAGATCAAAGCAAAAGATGAAAAAGTCCCAAATTCCATTTTAAACCATGTGTCAAAACAAAATATAATTTTAGATTTCATTTCTATTCAAAGCATAAGAAGTCAGAATAGCAGCAAAAGTTACTGCTGGCTATTTTTCAGAAAACATATGATATCAACAGACACAATACTAACCCACATCAGTCCCCTCTTCAAGGACAGCCTTGTTTTGAAGTTCAGGACCTGCAACATCTGTGAAAATTCCAGCTTCATCCACTAAACAGTCCTACAAAGTATCATTTGAACAATTGAAATAAAGCATCAAGACATTTTATCTTATGACAATATCTGGCAAAATAATATACATAAAACATCTCAGTATTGCCTAGTCTCTCTATACATTGAAAAAATGGGAACTTCTTATTCAGTCAACAGAAATTTGTGAATTTTATAAATTTAAACCACCAAAGACGAAATGTGTTATTAAAGCATATACCTAAAGCTTAATAACAAAAAGTAACAAAATACACTAAAACATCTTTGACTACTCTGCTATTTACATACCTATGGCAATGTATACAGTTGTTCACTTTGAGACTTGCCTTTTAACTAAAGAAACTCGCCAAGTAACTGAAGTGTGTAAAATAAATTTAGAGAGGACTGTTGAGTTAAAAAAATAAAAATTATCCTTTTCAACTACTTAGTAAGATCTATGTGCCATTTTTCTGGAACTAAAACTAATTTGTCTATGTGGCCTAATACTTAAAAGAAGTTACTTTAAAAGTGCTCCACATAATATATATTCTTTAATGTTAATTTTGTGCTGATTTTGTGCTAATTCTGGGAAATCTC